CCCAGCAGGTCGAGGCTGCGGTGGCCGGGAGCAGCCACTGCACTCCAGTCTGGGTGACAGAGTCAGACTCCAACTCAAAAAAAATAAATAAATAAACTGCATCTGTCCGGCCAACTTCTGAGCCTCTGGGTCTTGTCTCTGAGGATGGGCCCCTTCTGCATTCTGGGGAGGCCCAGGCATCCATCCTGCAGACTGGGAGCCCTGAGAAATGCACTTCTCTTCCCCTCTCTCCTCTTCTGATTGCTTCAGGGGAGAAAGAAAGAGTAGCCTGGTGGTCAGGAAGCCAATGAGGCCTGGGTTCAAATCCCAGCACTGTTCCCAGCTGGTGTGACTCCCCTGCCCCCCCGACTTGGCCTTCCTGTTAGTGGAAGGGATATCTGCTAGTTCTTGCCTCACGGATGGTTGTCAGGATTCAATGAGATCATGTAACCCATGCCAGCTTGGCCACTCATTACTTGCACACTAAAATCAACCAGCATGAGATGTAGTGAAAGGAAGGTGATTTTATTCCAAAAGCAGCAGATGAGGAAATGGCCAGGCACAAATAAACCATTTCAGATTTTTAGGCTGAGTGCAAAGGTTTAGAAGGGGAAACTTGGTATGGGGAAACATGCAGGCATGGCACAGGGTGTGTGTCTTGTTCCAATGGCTTATCTTGGGTGGTGCTCCTCCTGGGGCCCTGGTGGGTGTTATCTCTGCTGAAGACAAGCTGTGGATCAATCATCTTGGGACCCAAGTCAGAGGATCCTGCAGTCAGGCTGTCTCAAGATAAGCCCCTGGGAATGCTAAGCAAGCATACAGTCAAAGAAGCCTGCATGGTGCAAGAGAGTGCCTGGTAGTTAAAGGGAGAAAATAAGTTTCTTAAACATGTTTCAAGGTTTAAAATTAAGAAAGAGAGAAAAACCTTTAAAATACATTTTTTTTTTTTTGAGACAGGGCCTCACTGTCACCCAGGCTGGAGTGCAGTGGCACAATCACAGCTCACCACAGCCTCAACCTCCCGGGCTTAGGTAATCCTTCTGCCTCAGCCTCCCGAGTAGCTGGGACTACAGACATATGCCACCATGCCCAGCTACTTTTAAAAATTGTTTTGTAGAGACGAGGTCTCACTATGTTGCCCAGGCTGGTCTCAAACTCCTCGGCTCAAGCAATCCTCCTGTCTCACCCTCCCAAAGTGCTGGGATTATGAGCGTGACCCACTGTGCACAGCCTAAAATATATTTTAAGGCTGAGATACTCAGTTACAATAATGCTCGCTAAGAGCAGACAGACCAGGTGAGCCAGGAGTCTCCGTCTAGGCCACAGGCATCTCCTGAGCACCCGAGTGTCCCTCCCCATCCCTGCAGACCAAACTTCAAAGCCCAGGGTGCTTTTCTGCTCTCTCTCTAGGATTTTCAAAAATGAGAACTTCCTGAAGGCAGTGATGACTCTGGCCAAGAAAACCAAATGCAAGTTGACCATCTGCCCCGAGGAGGAGAACATGGATGACCAGTGGATGCAGGTGTGTGGCCCTGAGCGGCAGGCAGGACGAAGGTCCCTGAGGACCAAAGGACACTTGGGGGACCTGGACTCCTGGGGCTTGGCCTAGTGCCTTGAAGGCCACCCTTCCTTGGATGGACGGGGAGGTAGGAAACTCTTGAGGGTCCCTGCGAAAGGGGGCCCAGGCAAACGGTTCATCTAATATGTGCAGCAGGCCCCCCGGGGTCACCCAGGTGAAAGCCACCAACCTGCTTGAGAACTCTCAGGCAGCCTGGGAAACAATGCAAAGTCAGGAGGTTGGCCCTCAGCGGCCTCCTCGATGACCCTCCCCCCAGGCTGTCCTTCCTGGGCTCGGCCACTCCGCCACCAGACCTGGCCACACCCCTGCTCCAGCACTTTCCATGGCTCCCACGCCTACCGCTCAGTCTGTTTCTGGGACCCTCCCCGGGGCCAGCCTGCTGCGGCACCCAGCCACACTCTACTGACATTCTCTGTTTCCATGCCGGCCCCCCTCAAGTCAGGAACACCCCAAAGACTCACACAGAGTCTCGCCCAGCTCAGCACCCCAGCACCCAGCACTGGGCGGGGCCAGAGGGCAGTTGGTGGGCTGCACTCTGCCGCCTCGCCGCTCCCTCGCTCTGCCTGGGCACTCTACCCTTCCCCGGGGCACCCCCGTGGAGCCTCCTGGGACAGCCTCCCCGTCCCAGCCCCCACCTCCACATCCTGCCGCGAATCCCAGCACAGATGCTCCCCACCCCAGCTTCCCAGTCCCCCCTTCTCCTAACCCCCCAGGCAACACCCCCTTGTCTTTTCTCATCATCCACCTTTCTGAACCGTGGAAAACGGTGAAACTGTGTGACATTGCTGACATGCACCATTTTTCTTTTTTTCTTTTTATTTTTTTGAGTTGGAGTCTCACTCGGTCGCCCAGACTGGAGTGCAGCGGCCGCTCCTGGCCACCGCAGCCTCGACCTGCGGGCTCCGGCGATCCTTCCGCCTCAGCC